GTGCACTGTTAGTTTTGTGTTATTTCTGTGATGAGTGATTTCTGATAGGGACATCTGAGACGTAGTTTCGATGAGCTGTCAATATGTGTTCTGATAGTTAGTTGGTTGGGTATCCATCCGATGAGTTTGTGTGAGATGTGTTATGAGTGTATTGGATTGTGACAGTGTTAAGAGTATTTTTGTTGAATTTTGTGTTTTAGATTATTGGATGAAGCGATGGTGTGAAATGGTTTGTTCCTGGGAGCGTGATTTCGCGTAAGTGATTCTCAGTGTTTTGTGTATGCATATTGATGTAATGAGAGGGAGAGAGATAGAGTGTGTGTGTGTGTGTTTGTTTGTTTGTTTTGTGTTTTGAGTTGGCGTATATTTTGATGATGTGATCCTCTGTAAAAGGCGTCTGTATGTGCTATAGTCACTGGACGTAAGAGACAGAGGTATATAAAGGTATGTGGTGACGAGCTGTGCTAAGTGTCGTTCGTCACCGTACATTCAAAGTGTTTGTTGAGTATGTCGAGTGTGTGTAGTGTGCATGGTGTGTGTGTGGGAGCGTAGTTGTTGTGATGAATGGAATGATGACTGTTGTGAGTTTGAGTGGTAGTTTTTGGGTAAGCCTCCTACTGAGTGTGATGAGACTGGCATGTTGGAATGACTTTTGTCAAATTCCATTTGCTAAGGAACCACTGATTGATTTGGTGTATGTGACAATGAGTGATTTCTCATGTGAAGGTGAGGAGATGAGTAATAATTTTTTTGTTTTCTGCTATTTGTTTGTTTCTATTCCAGTGTAGACGGTGAGTGATGATGACTAGTGAAGAGTCGTTGGTTGTATTGGGAGAATGATAGGTGTGGTTTGGAATTCAGGTGAGTGTCTCTGTGGTATCCAGTGTGTGAGTGTTGGATTGTTTGATTGTGTGAGTGAGTGAGTGTGTGTGTGCACTGTTAGTTTTGTGTTATTTCTGTGATGAATGATTTCTGATAGGGACATCTGAGACGTAGTTTCGATGAGCTGTCAATATGTGTTCTGATAGTTAGTTGGTTGGGTATCCATCCGATGAGTTTGTGTGAATGTTATGAGTGTATTGGATTGTGACAGTGTTAAGAGTATTTTTGTTGAATTTTGTGTTTTAGATTATTGGATGAATCGATGGTGTGAAATGGTTTGTTCCTGGGAGCGTGATTTCGCGTAAGTGATTCTCAGTGTTTTGTGTATGCATATTGATGTAATGAGAGGGAGAGAGATAGAGAGTGTGTGTGTGTGTTTGTTTGTTTGTTTTGTGTTTTGAGTTGGCGTATATTTTGATGATGTGATCCTCTGTAAAAGGCGTCTGTATGTGCTATAGTCACTGGACGTAAGAGACAGAGGTATATAAAGGTATGTGGTGACGAGCTGTGCTAAGTGTCGTTCGTCACCGTACATTCAAAGTGTTTGTTGAGTATGTCGAGTGTGTGTAGTGTGCATGGTGTGTGTGTGGGAGCGTAGTTGTTGTGATGAATGGGATGATGACTGTTGTGAGTTTGAGTGGTAGTTTTTGGGTAAGCCTCCTACTGAGTGTGATGAGACTGGCATGTTGGAATGACTTTTGTCAAATTCCATTTGCTAAGGAACCACTGATTGATTTGGTGTATGTGACTATGAGTGATTTCTCATGTGAAGGTGAGGAGATGAGTAATAATTTTTTTGTTTTCTGCTATTTGTTTGTTTCTATTCCAGTGTAGACGGTGAGTGATGATGACTAGTGAAGAGTCGTTGGTTGTATTGGGAGAATGATAGGTGTGGTTTGGAATTCAGGTGAGTGTCTCTGTGGTATCCAGTGTGTGAGTGTTGGATTGTTTGATTGTGTGAGTGAGTGAGTGTGTGTGTGCACTGTTAGTTTTGTGTTATTTCTGTGATGAATGATTTCTGATAGGGACATCTGAGACGTAGTTTCGATGAGCTGTCAATATGTGTTCTGATAGTTAGTTGGTTGGGTATCCATCCGATGAGTTTGTGTGAGATGTGTTATGAGTGTATTGGATTGTGACAGTGTTAAGAGTATTTTTGTTGAATTTTGTGTTTTTTAGATTATTGGGTAACGGAAATTGGGATGTTTCTGTCGCTTTTTTGCGTTAATCTTCATCTGTGGTGTAGGTTTTGCGGCGTTGGTAAGGCGATGTGGCAGCGCATCCCGCTATGACAACTGATTCCGTTATCTATTTGGTTTGACTGTATTTGTATCTGCAATTACAATACAGTTTTGTTTTTTCGGTAGTCTTTATTGATGGTGACAATTGCTTTTTTTTTCTTTTCGTTGTTTTATTTTCATCACTGTCTAGTCAGATTTTGGCGTGGCATTGGCTACTGAGATTTTTTCAGTAGTATATAAGGAGGCGCTTATCTGAACGCAAAAATATTAAATAAGGGAGAGATATATTCAACATCAAAGAAAGGAGATGATGCAGAGTTTGGCGATACATAGAACACATGAAAAGAAGATAAAGAAACTCAGAATATGAAGAGCAAAAAAGCCAACAGAATACAAAAGATCTGTGCAAATGACGATTGTTGAAATAAGGTGTACATAATTTCCTTATATAGAGATACAGAATTCTAAATAAACATTCCTTTACCAAGTCTCTTGTCTCCTACCGTTACACTAAATATCCCTAATCACTTTATTGTTGTATAGATGTCGACGTCAAGTTGTTGTTCTTCATTCATGATCAAATATTTTAATTGAATGAAAAGTGATTAGTGAACAAGGAATATTCACTATCTTCTGCGCAACTATGTCAATATTTCAAATTAAACCTGTCTTTCACAATAATCATAATAACGGACAGTGTTCGTTGTGTTCTAGATTCCATTCCAAAGAGCGAATGTTAACATGATCATCTTGAAATCTGAAGATCCTGGGTTTCATTGGTTGTGAGCATTTGTGAAGAGTCCTAAACATGGCCGAAACACTATACCTCGGTTTTCAATGGTTATTTCTGACATACTTATATAGACCTAATTTCTTACATGTCTTTGTATTTCCCTCTCCCTAGTAATGACCTCTGAAATCCCATTGGTTGTTCACTGTTTTATTTAGTGTCTCTCATGGTCATTTTAAAGCATATATATTTACGCAATCGCTGTCAATCCTTTTTAACTGTTGTTTGAGACACTAAAAGCTCTCTGATCGACGTCCAGTCTTCTTCTTCTGTCTTTGCGTACTGGCGGTGTTATTGCTTGTTGTTGTAGTTGACGTGCGATTAGGAGAGATTAGCCAGTGCGTTAAGTTAGTATTTGCTCATAGTCTACTACTAGGTCGTAGTTCCGGTCAAAACACTCTCACCAATCAAATCCATACAACGCAACACTTGTAAATTCAAATCTACAACTCCGTAGCCTGTCTTTAATTGCTTGTCACGGCAAAACTAAACTATCTTAGCCAAAACCACAGTGACTTTGAACAACCAATCAGAACTTAGATGCAGAAAAGTTGTATAATTGTTGAGAAATACGCTAAAAACATATTACGAACTTGATAATACACTGTATAGTTGTGGCTAATGCGTTGTAAGGACGTTTCGCAGTTGATATCAGATGATCTATGTAGAAATCGTACCATGTGCGATATACCCATTCATCCAAGTGACTGTAGGTCTTGGTACTTTGAGTTCCAGTTGGTATTTCTGACACTATTCTTTAGCCTACTCCTAACTCTAACCATAATCCTAACTTGTGATCCTAAATTGAACCCTAATCCTAACACCTTAACCCTAGACTGTCAACCTTAATCTTAAAAAGCCATGTCCCTACCTAACAGTATAAATCTGCAGAAAAAGTACCTAGTAAATAAGTAGAATACTGTATCTACCCTCTCCAAGTGCAAAAAGGCATGCATGATTTGATGTGGAATGATGTTTCATAGCATTCCCTGTGTCCAATCGCTTCTTGAAGTTCAAATTTTGAAAAACCTTGACTTTGGGTACGATACTTTAACTTCGTGCTTGTTTTAATTGACTGCGTTACATTTGAAATAAGACTGAATAAATAATCCATGGTCAAGATTATATAGGTATGTATATAAATAATATATTATTTGATTAAAACGAACAAAAAGAAGGATATATCACCCGTAATTTCGAAAGAACAAAAAGAACTATATATTATCATATAGAACATTGCTTTATAGAAATAAAAAGCAGCCGCCTTGTGACAGTGTGTTGAAAACAGATTCTTGTATTCGAATAAAAAGAGACGGAGTGAAGGGAACCAAAAGTGTCTATAATACAATCCTAGTATATATATATATATATTTCGTTGTTTAAAAAGTAAAACTTCCTCATACAGAACAAAGAAAAATGAGAGACTAGCACAGGGTGGATTAGAAAAGAAAAACTTGACAACAAGTAGAACTCAGCAATGACATGCATATTCACTTTTGGAAGAGGGGAGGGAATTGAACGAAACACATTGCAGAAGGATTGTTTCATTGATAATTGGGATGAGCACAAACCAGATTTAAACTCATGACTCACAACACCAGCGTTTGTGAAAGAAATTGTAGATATTTTGAAATAATAAATAGTTATTCAAGTTAGCAACTATAAAATCCTATTTGTTTGTGTGCATGTGTGCGCGCAGAAAGAAAAAGCCAAAACAAACAAAAAAGAAATGTTGAAATTTTAAAGTGTAAAATATGAGCTAAACAACTTGGCAAGAGAATTTTCCGTTCCGTTTTATTTTTGTATTTAAAAGAAAAGCCTAACAAACCTGTCAAACAGAGAGTACAAAATTCAAAAGAAAAATTTCCTTCGAAAAACAAAAAATCAAAACCGAAAAGAGTAAACAATATGACATGGTGTGATGATCCGATGATCATCCATGAAATTAATGAGATAAACAAGAGTAAAAATGATTGATTCACAGTTGAGATTATGAAGTGTATTCACACTTTGATCAATGAATCAGGAGAAATGCTAATGTCTTTATTATTATTAATAAAAAAACAAAACAGAATGACAATTTTTTTCTATGAAGGTAATGAATCACTGTAACTCGGCGGTGGTTCGCTACTGCCTATCAATGAACGTGGAACAGTTGACAAGGTATAATCAATACCATCTAGTGTTCTATCTTCATGATGTAAGTATTGATCTAATGCACCAACAGACGCTGCCATTTCTAGACGTGTCGCTTCAGCATCCTCCTCGGATAGACTATTCAACACGCCAAACATATTGTCGGTGTTTCTTTCCTTCTGTGTTGTCGGTGAGACATTTTCTTTCTGATTATAACATCTACTACTGTTATTGTCATTAGTAGTAGCAGTAGTACTAGAATTAGTCGTTGTTGTTGTTGATGATGGTGGTGGTAATATAACTAGTTCATTGTTTGCGTTAACTGATAAAATCAATGATTGTCGACCTTCAGGCATAGCAGGTGGTAGACGAGGTGAACCAACTCGTGAATGACATCGATACATTACATTCTCCTCTAAATTATCACATGTAATTGCATTTGTATTACTATTATTAGTTGTTGTCGTTGTAATATTGTTATGATTACAATCCCCGTTGAATAATGGATGATTCTCCATGCATAAAAACATTGATGTATTTAAAGCATTCGGTTGGACAAGACCAGAGTATTTGACAGCATTTACAACAGCAGTAGGTGAATAACACCGACAACATGGTATAGCACGTTGTTTATAAAAATTCCAATTACGCAATAGTTGTATTGCACTTGTTGCTGAGGCATTATCTGAACCATCAACAGTTTGTCTGTTTACTGACTGAAAGTGAAAAATAAAGGGTAAATGAGAGAAAGAAAAGAAAAAAAGTATATCAAAACAAAATCAAATGACCCTGAGCCAACCAATCAAATCGCTCAGAATTATAGAATGGATGCGTATTTTTCATAATCTTCTTTGCAAGTTTCATCCTGATTCAGAGTTAAGTTTTTAGGGTAGGTTTATGGCTAAGGTTAGAGTGAATCTGGCAACGGAGATTATTTATTATTGTTCCCTTGGGTTCTTAGTGGAACGTAGGGCTTCAACTGTCCGTCTCCACTTGTTTCTGTCTTCTGCTGTACTTTTCACCTGCATCCATGTTATTCCATACTGTTTCAACTCCTCTTCATACGATCTCCTCCATGTCACCCTTGGACGTCCCACTACTCGCCGCTTCCCTTTCGGGTTCCATTCGAGCATTGGCCTGACGCGCGATGTCATCCAGCGGCCTCCTCAGTGAGTGTCCAATCCATCTCCACTTTCTCCTGCATATTTGTTGAGCGATTGGTTCTTGTTTTGTTTGTTCCCATACTTTCTTGTTGGTGATTCTTTCCGGCCATCTGATCTTCAGTATAGAGCGAAGACAGTTAGTTGTTGATAAAGGTCTGCAACAGGCTGTTGGAAATATTCTTGGTGACCCGCCAGGTTTCTGATCCGTGTAGAAGAACTGACTTGACGTTTGTATTGAAAATCCGAACTGTGTTGTTGATGCTGAGTGACGAAGATTTCCAGATTGGTTTCAGGTTGATGAATGTGTTTCTCGCCTTCTCGGAGAAAAGCATCTATTTGTGATGCCTCTAGATCTGATTGGTCCATTCAAGGTCATTCGACTTCGGTGTCTATTCTCTACAGTTTTCATGGTTAGATAGATGGACAGAATTGACTGGTTTAACCGTTGTGTGCACAAATAAGATGAGTTAGTACCTGCTTACTTATGTAACGACAGAAGGCAAGAGTCAGGCAACAGAACATTTATTAAGGAAATCAACGCATATTTATATATTTTCATGTACATTATTATGGATAGTTAAGCGAACAAACACAGTCTTCCGATTGGTTGTTTCTCACGTAAAGTTAATCTTTCATCTATTTGTGACTGTTTCTTGAATGTCAAATCATCTATATGTTAACTGCATCCGCCTACGCAAAGTCTGCTGTGGTCGGTTTTGAATCAATCTTTGTTCACATTTTCTCACGACAAATCTTGGGAATGTAAACATTGACGTAAATTACTGTCTACCAATTTAGCTAGTAGACAGCTCTCACCACACTTATACTTTAAGATACTACATGACATCTTATTTTTTTTTTATTTTTCTAAAACAGGGAATCAGGCCTACTGAGGAAAAGATAGATACAATCAAAAACTTTCCCCAACCAGACTCTTTGAAGAAAGTCCGACAATTTTTGGGGATGTTTAATTTCTATCGACGTTTTATTCCTTCGTGTGCCTCTATCGTCCAACCTTTAACCGATCTCCTTAAAAGTGATCCTAAAAAATTTCAATGGTCAGCGCAAGCACACGAATCTTTCTGCAACGCTAAAGACGCTTTATCTAAAGTCGCTATGTTGTCTCACACCAACCCCGAAGCATCCCTTATCTTGTGCACAGATGCCTCCCAAGTAGCTGTGGGCGCGGTGTTACAGCAGAAGATTAATGGTGACGTCACCCTACTTGCTTTCTTTCCGAAGAAGTTAGAACCGGCTCAGACACGTTACAGTACTTTTGAGAGAGAATTGTTGGGTGTATACCTAGCAGTCAAGCATTTCAATTACTTACTACAGGGTCGGCATTTCACTATTTTTACTGACCACAAACGTCTGTGCTATGCTTTCACTACTTCGCTGGATAAACACTCCCCAAGAGAAGCCAGACAGTTGGACCACATCTCCCAATTTTCAATACCAGTTAAATACATCTCATCAAATATAGTGAAATTATTTACTTCGAAACAAGTTTACTAATTTTTTTCGTTTTTCCCATTCAATTGATATTACTCACCATAGTGTGTCAATGGTTTAGTTGTCGAATGCTCGCAAACCTCGCACGTGGTTCAAAGTTCGATACCCAGCCGACGCATTTATAAACCTTGCTTAGCCGGCAGTCAGCCCGGTTAAAACGCAAAGAAGGTTGGCGGTTAGGCTAGCAACCTCACCTAGTAAAACTATAGAATAACACCTTGTGCCACTGAAACTTTAAAGCTCCATCTTGAAGGCCTACATTTCACTCGGAACGCAAAGAAATAAAATAGATAAATTATTTAAATTAATCCCAGCGTGTTAAGAAAATCAAAACGATATCATTCCGAAATCCTTTATGATAAGAGTTCCGGAAAAATCTCATCGATCTATGAAAGCATCTATTGTAGCATCTCGCGTGTTCCTTCGAGAAAGGATACACAAATGTACATTAGTAATGCAACACTATCAATATCGAATTAATAATACTGATGATTGTCTGAATATTCTTATATCCAAAGATCATCTAACTACAATTACCCAATTATTCGAAGATCGAAAACTTATAAATCCGAAAGCAGCATACGCCAGAGCAAATAAGTCAAATGTACAGACAAACACAAGAACAGTATGCAACTAATCAGATAGAGAACTTAATGTACATGAAACAGCATTACTTGAAAAAGGACTCAACTTTAAAATAACTCGAAAACCACTGACAGCAATAGAATTAGCTCCCATCATGGAACCTATATTAACTCTTTTAACTGATGATGAAGCTAATGAATTACGTTAGAAGGTTGGATATATCCTATCGAATCAAAAGCAGGGCATCTCAAGTTTGTCGAAGACCGAACGTCATGCATTACAAATATTAAGATCAGATAAATCTATTGGTATAACTAGAGCTGGCAAAGGCAATATCACTAATTCTTAATAAAGACGACTATGACAAAAAAGCTTTGGAACATATCGAAGTAGGACCTTACACATAAGTACCAGTAAACAAAATGTCTAGTAGGATGAACAAAGTAAAAGCCCAAGTATGCAATATACTTAGAGAATTGAAACCAAAACTAGGGAATTCAGTTTGGTTTTCAATAGCTCCCAAGACAAACACGGCCGCGAGATTTTATGGAAGGCCGAAAATACATAAAATAGATGTTCCTTTAAGACCAATAATTGATTTTACCAATTCGGTGACATATACTTTATCAAAATACATATCACGAATACTGAAACCACTTTAATACAATATTCCTTCGAACATCAAAAATATTGAGGAATTTAAAAGGAAAGTAATGGACATAATTATTGAAGAAGACGAAATTATGGCAAGTTTTGGTGTGGTTTCTTTATTTACTAGTATTCCTATTTGTGATTCACTCGATATTATGAAATATGAACTTGAAAACAATCAAGAAGTATTAACTAAATCTTTATTATCAATAGATGAAGTTATAAAATGCTTAAAACTTTGTTTGGAATCTACATATTTTACCTTTAAAGACAAACTATACTGTCAAACAAATGGAGTTGCAATGGGTTCACTAGCATCTCCAATTGTAGCAAACTTATATATGAAAGCCCTAGAAAAGAAAGCATTGACAAGTTTTAGTTGTCATCCTAGAATATGGTACAGATATGTAGATGACACATTTATCATCATAAAGAAAGCTGAAAAAGAAAACTTTCTAACAGAAATCAACTTAATCTCAGAATATATTGAGTTTACTAATGAGATAGAATCGGCTGAGAGAACTCTATACTTTCTGGATTGTCTTGTAAAAAGACAAACTGAAGAGAAACTAGAGTTTACCATATACAGAAAGCCGACACATTCCAACAAGTATTTGAATTTCCAATCAGATCATCCAATAGGAATGAAAGTTTCAGTAGCTTCAAATCTCGTTAACAGAGCTAGAAACATTATAACAGATAATGATGATATGGAGAACGAGATATCCAACATAAAACAGATTTTGATTGGAAATGGTTATCCTGAAAAGCTACTAGATAATATTATCAATAGAAAGGAGCAAAAGGGAAAACAAAAAATTGAAATCCCATACCGAAAGGACACAGCTGAACAACTTCAAAGACTATTTACCTCACATAATATTAAAATCTATGTCAAACCTTCTAATTCTCTGGAGAAAGCGTTGGTGCATGTGAAAGATATAGTTCCCAGGATGTCACAAAGTAACTGTGTCTACAAGATAAAGTGTTCAGAATGTGATGCATGCTATATAGGGGAGAGCAGTAGGCAGGTGAAGGTCAGAGTGAATGAACATAGACTATGCACGAAACGTCCACCTAGAAATGAAGTAGAACTAAAAAGTCTAGAAAAAAGATCGGCTATAGCAATGCATCCTATAGACAGCGGACATAAGATCGATTTCGACAATGTCGAAATTCTTGGAAGAGGATTTCATTCACATAAAGAAAGATTGACTTCTGAAGCCTCGCACATCTTAACCACATCGAATGCAGTGAATAGGAAAGAAGGGATAGACTTATCATCTATATGGCAAACTCTTATGAAGTAAGACAGATGAAAAAATCGATAAACACTATGAGCCTCCATGACCTTTTAAAACATGTGGGATCATGTTTATCACATATGAATTCACGTATTTTCCATATAACAAATAACATAAATACACACACATACTCATAAAAACTAATCTGTACAAATTTACTATAGAAGAGTGAACACAACAACAATTTGACATGAGTCATCACATATATATGTGATGACTGCTTACATATTTTCTATTGGTAAAAATATCCATGGACAAATGACCTTCAAATAAAATGACTTCAATTTATGTAAAATTTTTGACTATGTATTTTGATGATTAATAAAAATCCGACTCCCACAACGGTCATTACTAGCTGATATAGGTGCAGGTTGGAAAAGAGTAAGTGGTGCCATGCCAAACAAAAACATGGCATCAATCCATGAAAACCCTGACAGTTAAACTGAGTCAGGTAGGGAGATGCAGACTTCCGGGTTGGGGCCCGCCCTCCGGACTCTAAGAATCAATAGCTGGAGACAATAGGTGACATGGCTCAAAATCGTTGTCAATGGCTTACGCAGATGTATTCAGTCTCTTTAACCTTTCATATTCCTTTCTACCATTACTCATTCTGTTTCACTCTTATACTTGTCAAAACTCTATTGATTCTGTTCACTCATTTTCTTGTCTACCTTTGTGTGCTATTTGGAACGTGGCAACTCGAACTGCTGCACTTCGGTGCCAAGTTCTACGTTGAATCCAGACAGACAGAGACAGAATAAATCTGATGAAGAAGCTGTGGCTTACACAGCGAAACGTTCAGAAAAATCTTGTTTTGATTTTCTTAACACGCTGGGATTAATTTAAATAATTTATAATGAATCAACCTGACTCGGCGCTCAAATTATTCCAGGAAGTTCGTAACACCTACGGCCCGGAAACCTATAATCTTAAAATAGATAAATACAAATAAACGCATAACATGATTACGTAGCGTATAATATAAATAGACGCAGAAACCTACATTCATCAATTCATTCTGATCATCTTGTGTATACAAACTAAGTTCAGTGGAATTATCATCCAAGAAGTGTTGTTGATGTCCTGTTGAAGTTTGCTGTACCTTTTGTTGTTGTTGTTGTTGCCGATCAGAATGTAGTTCTAGTTGTTGCCCACTGAATGGAGAATGATACAATAAACCATGCAGTGAATTTGAAGACATATCATTAAATAATGAATTAATTGGATCTTCTGGTAATATTTGAAGGAAACCATCTTTAGAATTATCTTCACAATGATGATGATGATGATGTCGATGTGAATACACTTTTCGACGATTATGCTGATGAAAATTTTCACCAGTTTTATTTCGACTACTTATATCATTATTTATAGTAGTCACCGGTGAATTTGTGGAAATTTTTCGTTGACTACATATAACCGATAGACTAAATGTAATTATAAATAATATAGCTAAGAATATAATAAATAAGGCTAATATTAATGAACCAGCAATCCATAAAATATGATAACCATTATAGAATGGATGTTTCTTAGAATTCATTGATTTGAATGATTGTATAATGATATTATTTTTGCTATTGATGCTGTTCATACGATTTCGAATACTAGTCATATTCAGTATAGGATAACCAAGTGAATTAATACGTAGAATTTGTATAGAATTATTCCTACTTGCATTTAACCAGCTTACTTTGCGTTGACAAGTAGATTTGAGTAGATTTTGATTCCGCATTGTAAATAAATATATATCATCAAGGCATACATTACTTGTACTTAGGATATTTAATGATTGAACAGTAGCGAAAGCTATCCATTCATCTGATTGTGCTATAATATTGACTAATTTGTTTTCAGCATATTCATGTTCATCTGTGTACTGATTGTTGTATACAGTATTTTCAGTATTATTATTATTAGTAGTATATATAGGTATTGTAACATTTATCCATATATTATAGGGTAGAGTACTATTATTATTTTGTAAATCTGATATCTGTTCTTTAAAAATTGACCAATCTAATCGAGACATTGTTCTCGAAGTGTACGATGATGTACTCGATGGTGATGAGTGATCGCGTTGCTCATCTTCATCATCAATATCATATTCTTGATCGTAGCTATAGTCATTAGGATCATCAGTGTTGAGTAGAGCTCGAATAGTTTGCTTATTTGATCTGTAGCAAATAAATAATAAAACAAAAATATTAAATTATCCATGGTAGGTTACGATTAAGTAAGATATTCAACTACAAATTCATCTCTACGAGACCGAATTGCCATTATAATTCTTGAATTTATCAATTCAAGGGATTTTGTCTAAAACTAAGCGATTACGATCACGGCTTGTCGTTGCAATTAAAACGTCACGGCCGTCGACAAGCTGTAGAGTTGCTGAATATTAAATGTGACAAATCAGTTAACACATCTGATGGTAAAACACAAGTAAGGTGTTCACTTTTCATCATATCTAATCAGCTGTATTGCATTGTTGTTCCCTTGGGTTCCGAATGGAATATAAGGCTTCAACAGCACATATCCATTTCGTCCTATTTTCTGAAGTCCCCTTCAGCTGACCCCACGTTTTCCCATAGTCTCCCATCTCCTTCCAACCACACGATCTCCTCCATGTCAATCTCGGAGACACACAAACAACTCGTCGTTCCCCATTCGAATTCCCATCGAGTGATGGCCTCCCGTTCGATGTTACCCGACGGTCTCCTTATAGTGTGCCCAATCCATCTCCATATTCTCCTACATATATGTTGAGCAATAAGTTCCTGATTGGTTTCTTCCTAGATTCTCTTTTTACTAGTTCTTCCAGGACATTTAATCTTCACTATGGAGCCAGAGAAAACAGCAGCTTTTGATAAAAGCCTGCAATAGCCTGTTGGAAATGTTTTCTTAACGCGCCAATTTTCTGAATCATATAGAAGAACTGACTTAACATTGGTGCTGAAAATGCGAATCTTGCTCTTTATGTTGCTTTAGGATAAGGAATATTTGCAGTTCTGATTGGGTTGACTCAGAACTTGACTTCTTAAAAGCCACGCTCGCAGAAAACGGTTACCCTAACCGATTTATTGACAGTAACATGAAAGATAAGCAGTCTAAACTGGTCACCGACTCAGTTCCAACGAAAACCTTATTCATGAACTTGGAATTCAAAGGTGATCAAGCTTCAGATATGCTCAAAAATCGTCTCTCTAAAGCAGTCAGTAAGTTCTCTTTGCGGCAAAATTACAAATGACGTTCACCAGCCGCAAGTTATTCTCTATCTCTATAAAAGATAAGCTCCCCCGTCTGGCCGCCTCCATGTGCATCTATCAGTTTACCTACTCTTGTGGAGCAATGTACATTGGCCGTAGCCAGAGGACGCTTTCCACACGGATACGAGAACATATTCCAGCAGCATGGTTTTACAATGTAGAAAGGAAGTGTGTTCGAAGCTCTATTCTAGAACACCTGATCGACTTCTGTCACTCTGCCAACCCTGATCATGGTTTTAAGATCATCTACCGAATCCATGCTAACTTGCCGCGTTTTCTTCGTTACAGACTTCTAAAGAGAGCGGAGACGCCTTGGCGATTCATGACTTTAAGCCAGACATCTTTGTGTACAAAAGAAGCATGTACAATGCCTACTTCTGCCTTGGCCGTAGAGGGATAGACATTTATTTATTTTGATTATTTAGTTATTCTATGTACTCTTCCCTTATTACTACGATTATTATTAATATTATTACCATTATTATTCTTACTATTCTCACTCTGAATCTTTTCCACTTGACCCACTTGACATTTTAAACCCAAAATTATTAATTTTTATATTTTTAATTTTACAATATTGAATTCTATCTTATCAAATTTCACACCATGTTATGTAACATTTTATATTCATCTACTAATCCTATAATTATGTACCCCTTTCCAACATCTATGCACCTTAGGTATTATTCTATATATGACATTTAATTATGATTATAGCCACAAATATTGTAATTGCATTTCATACTATTAATATTATTATTATTTCATGTATTCACACCTTTGACCTAATTCCCTCACGGGATATAACTTCTTGAAAACCATATATATGCGATTGTACAGCTTGATAATAAATTCGTTGTTGAAAAGAGTCTCTTCGCTGAATATTGTGTCCTTAATGCTACAGCGGGATTTATTAAATTATTCAAAAAAAAAAGAAAAAAATAGCAGACAAATGAACTTACCCTAAATTTACTACAATTTTACTATCAGTTCGATTAGAAAGAAATCGTATTTTCAATTGTAAACAAGCTACTGGAAGGGATTTCTGAAATGTATACAATGTCTGTTTGTTAATCTTCTCAGTTTCTTCATTTAGTTGACGTCTTGTTGATTGATAAATCATTGTTTTAGTTGGTGCTGTGTTGTTGTTGTTGTTGCTGCTGTTGGTAGTGGTGATCTTGGTGTAACTGATCTGAACGAAGAGATAGACGTTGAAGGAAACAATGGAAATATCGACGGTGATCCAGTAGACGGTACTGTTGAAGATAATCTTGCACTTGTTACATCCATTGGTGCAACAGGTTTATGTGTTAGAAAATATTTAGGCCAATGAATATTTAATTTCATATAAGAAGTTTCATTCTGATTGATTGAAGAACATGGGAAATAATTGATTTTTGGAATAATTACCGGAGGGAATTGAAGATGCGTATTTGATAATGTTTCATGCTATAATATGATATAGGGGGACAGAGAGAGAGAAAAAAAAGAGGAAAAAGAAGAAAAAAGCAAATGATAAGATATGTTCAAGCACACTGGGTGACGCGGGTTCGAATCTCAGAAGGGACATGAGTTCCTTCAAGGTGACTGCAGATACGCCTTGCTGACTGGCGAGTGCCAGCTAGCACGAAACCTAGGTCCAAGGCTTCCTGCCGATTGCCTCCAACTATCTAATATCATCAAATCAATGTACACCGTGATGGCGAGCTACCTAGAATGGTGGCCACATTGCAAAACCTGACTGATGAATCCTTTACAGTGATAAAAGATTTTCACTGACATTTGCAATTAATAGTGTTCTCTGAGCTGGTTGGTTTAGTTGTGGAGCTTTCGTCGTCCCCCTTCTGGACAACATCGCCTTTCAGCGCAATTTTTAGCATAAAGTGAACTGGCTTAAATTTTCCATGAGTGACAGAATTGCGTCTCCTGGTAACCATCTTTATCTATGTGTTGATCATTTTCTATTGACTTGGATTTTAAACTTTCTGGTCACATGAATTACTTTTTATTAGTTGGTATATTTGGTCTATATTAACATGTTTGTTAATCCCTAGCTGGTTAGCTTGGGTACCAGGCTTCTAGGAATTCCATGACATTTTTGGTGTTTCCTATGTCTAAAATTTCGACATTATCCCAATCAAACTGATGTCCATAATTATCTACATGCATTGATATGAAAGAATATATATATATATCATGTCTTTTCACAGCTAATTTGTGTTCCTGGATTCTGATTCGAAGGGGACGCCCATTTTGGCCGATGTAATGTCTGTTACAGTCCATACATGCAATTTATTTTGTAACTGGTATTAATTTTATCGCCTTTTTCTGTTGGATCTTTCAGTTTGCCCAATATTGAATGAAGTGATTATGTTGACTGGCTTGTGTGCTATATCATTTGACCAGAAAGTTTAAAGTCCAAGTCAATAGAAAATGATCAATACATATGTAAAGATGGTTACCGGGAGACGCAATTCTATCAGTCATGGAAAATTTAAGCCAGTTCACTTTATGCTAAAAATTGCGCTGAAAGGCGATGTTGTCCAGAAGGGGGACGACGAAAGCTCCACAACTAAACCAACCAGCTCAGAGAACACTAGTAATTGCAAATCATCTACCTGAGCTACAAATCTTCTCTATTATTCACTGACATTCACAAAACAGTTATATTAATTGAGCGATTTCAAAATGAAGTGAAGCGTTATTTTGATGACAACACAGAACAAGTTTTGTGACAATAGTACAGATTTATCCATATCTTCTCTCTTTACAATGGTTGGAGTATCATATTTCTCTGTTTTTCATTTCCACCATCTATTTACTGGGCATCAATACTATGGTAAGCTTGGACCACTAAACAGTAATGATGTAATTTCCAAATTCCCATTTACACGCATTTAGAAAAAACAACAGATTGAGCGAAGAAATATGCATTTCTTTTCAATTAGTTCCTCATCATCGGCTCCACGCTAATATACGGCTTCTAACATAAACATTTTACCAGTTAAGTGGTTATTTTAGTTAATAAGTTTTACTTATTGGGGGAGGGAGGAGGGTGAAATTAGGAGGTTAAAGGTCATCGAAACAATTAACTAATAGATGTTATTATTATTGTTTCCTTTAGTTCCTAGAGGAACATAGGGCTTCAGCCGCACATCTCCATTGAGTTCGGTTCTCTGCCAACGTTTTCAGTTGACTCCACGTCTGCCCACATGCTTTCATCTCCTCTTCACATGACCTCCTCCATGTCACTCGCGCACTGACGACCAACTCGCCACTTTCAGTTCAGGTTCCATTCGAGTGATGGCTTGGCGCATGATGTCAATTGATGGTTTGTTTTCCCAGAGTATGGCCAATCCACCTCCATTTCTTTCTGCATATTCCTCGCACAATTGGTTCTTGCTGTATTGGTTCGTTCCCAGAGATCCCACCCTGTTGTTGATCTCTTCTGGCCGGCCATCTGATCTTGAGTAGTATTGAGCGAAGACAGCTGTTGATTTAGGTCTGCAGTTTGTTTGAGGTGCTCTTCATGACGCGTCAAGTCTCTGATCCCTATAGTGAGTAGCACTGACTTCCCATTGGAGTTGAAAATCTGGATCTTATTTTTTATTCCAAGTGCTGTTGACCCCCACACAGACTTGAGTACTAATAGATGTTAGTAACAAGATATCCAAGTTTTAAAGAAGGAGGGGTGAAAATTAACTACAGAATTCAGAATAAGTTGATTCTTAGGCGTTAGTTAATAATTAGCTAACTAGTTAATTAACTCATTAACTATTAAGTTGTTTGTATTTTACGTAATCTTCTGAGTCATCCTATTCTTCTTAGTCATCATTATTTTACAAATTCCTTGATTATGTAATGATATAGGCCTTAATACAAATGATGACTAATTAACTCAAGAATTAACTGTTACTGATACCAATAATGGTAGTAATAATAATTTTAAAGAATTGGTTTTTGCATGGATTCCATTTGTTTCAGATTAGATGACGGATTGATATCAGTTAGAGAACAACCGGTGAAAACCGGGGAGTACTGGACAGCTGTTTCATCCCACTAGTTCGGGGCTCATCGGCAGTACACACCCATCGCCGGGGTTTGAACCCAGAACCTTCCGGTTACAAAGCAAGTTATCATACCCTTCTGATGCTCGCTAGTGACTGGCTGCAGGAAGTCCTGGACAGTAAGGTTCATCCAGTCGGGAGTGAGGATGGAGTTCTCGCTTCTTTGTGTCGCTTTCACGTCTCCCATTTATCTCCACAACGCTGTATCAGTTGCTTTCTCTGGCATCAAATGTATCTCCCTGCTATTTGATGTTTTTATGCTGACGAACTTCTCATTTCTATACTACTGATAAATCTTATCAGTGGCATACGCCACACTCGTCCCCCTATCAAATAGTTTCGAACGGAGCCACTCCGACCTTCTTAGTGCGACCCATTCCTATTGTACCTTGGGTCCTAACTTCTTTATCCCATTGTATCTATTTCTGCAATTGGCTGACGTTAACCAGTTTCTATTTATTTCCTCTTTTGATGTTATAGATAAGACCACATCTCTCGGCGACAGTGTATGATCCTTCTCACTTCGGAAGGAGTTTCTATGAACCTGACCCACATCTAACTGCATGCCTTCTTTGTTTACACTTTCCTTGATCCCCGACCTCAAAGGTTATGCAACCAATCTCTCCTCCCTGTTCAAATTTCGCGACGTTTTCCATCTGTTGTTTACGCTTTACATTCCTAATGGTTTCTTTTTCTGTTCCGTTCACAGCCTTGCCATATTCCACTGGTAGCTGGTTCCCATAGAAGTTTCCTTCAAGGATAACTGGCATTCTGAGACATAAACAGTTTTATTAGTTGCACACGCCATATATATATATATATATTTCTCTAAAATGAAGACGAATATATGAACAGGTAGAAAGTATGCGTAACATTTACAAAAATACTGTGGCCAAAGGAAAAAATTCCAAATGAATGATGGCATTTTTTCCACCTGAGACTGGATATTTTGTATATTTCTTTATTATTTCATAAAATGTCAAATGAAGTATGCAATTACTTTAAAGTGTACATAATTTAGAAAGGCAAACAGATGGGACACAGACACACACAAGCGCTTTGCCATTTTCAACTGTACATAGAATTATAAAGCAGTCCTTCTTATACAATGCAATGAAAGAAGAGAGAGTTGAGATAGGCGTTTTTTTCTCCTCCTATACAAACAGTTACTTAAAAGGCTATTCCATAGAAAAACAGAGATACTGATGTAGAAGATATCTTCAAATTTGGTATGTGTAAGGCTTAAGGTAAGAAAAAAATAACTTGGTATTTAACGATAAAGATATCTATCTACTCGTGTATAGTGGTGGCTATATCATCAGTCAATGAAAGCAATGACAGTCACGTAGGGAGGTTTAGACTGGCTCGCTAGTTGGAGTCCTCCCATTCCTATTCAACTTCATCATAGACGTACTAATGGACTTAACCCTAACACACTTCAGCGACTCAGGGATTGACTTGCTACCACGGAACAATCTCGTCAACTTAGAATATGCGGACGATATAGTCCTTCTAGGCGAGGACGCTGACAAAATGCAGAGTCTACTGAACACCTTGAGCAACAATCTTCGAATGTTTGGCATGCGATTCTCCCCTGTAAAATGTAAGATAATGCTGCAGGATTGAACTACGCTGACTCCTAGTTTAGAAACAGGGATTGAAGTGGTAGAGCACGGTGACCGCTTCACTTACTTGGGAAGTACCATCAGCCAGTCCCAACGGGTTGATCTCCGACGAAATCTCAGTACGAATACAGAGGGCTAGTTTCACATATGCCAGTTTACGCCGTCTCTGGCTTAGTAGACGTGATATCCGACTATCGACCAAAGGGCGTGTGTACTGCTCAACAGTCCGCTCCGTCCTCCTTTATGGCTGTGAGACCTGGCCATTGAGAGCGGAAGACATGAAAAGATTAGCTGTCTTCGATCATAGTTGTCTGCGTTCTATCTCCCGCGTGAAGTGGTATAACAAGGTGAGCAATATTGAGGTTAGGCGTCGAGTGCTAGGTAAGGCGGGGAAATCAATCGACGAGACTGTGAAATTACATCGACTCAGATGGTTAGGACATGTGTTACGTATGCCTAGTCATCGCCTTCCTCGGCGGGCAATGTTAGCTGATATAGGGTCAGGCTAGAAAAGCGTTAGCGGCAGTCAAACGAAAACATGCCTTCACCAGTCAATGAAATCTACAACAGTTAGTCTAAGCCACGTAGGAAGGTGTAGACTTCCTGGTTGGGGTCCTTGGGACGGTAAAACCCAATGTTTGGAAACAATTGGTGACATGGCTCAAAATCGTTCTCAATGGCGCAGATGCATCCACTCCTTGTGACTTATGATCTCCAATGAAACTGTTTTGTTCTTCGTTATTACTATTCCTTTTGC